GACATGGTGCCATCGGCGCCGCGCCGCCGCCGCTGCTGAGCTCGCGGGCCTCGCCGAGCTCGGACGTGCGAGCGGGAAGATGTTTTCCGCGCTCAAGAAGCTGGTGGGGTCGGAGCAGACTCCGGGCCGCGACAAGAACATCCCCGCCGGGCTGCAGTCCATGAACCAGGCGCTGCAGAGGCGCTTCGCCAAAGGGGTGCAGTACAACAGTGAGTACGGGCGGGGCGCCCGGGGTTCCGCGGGTGGGACGTAGAAAGTGGGGTCCCCAGGGGGCCACAGGCCCGGGCCGCGGCGACTGGGACTGGGCAGAAGCCGGGTTGCACCCCGGCCAGGGAAGGGTCGCGGGCCCTGTCGCGTCCCGGGGGCCTCACCGTTTGCGGGGAGACTGGCGGGTGCTGTTTTAGGATGAGCTGAACCCCGAGTTGTGCCAGGCGCGTTGTGGGTGCCCTAGGGCGTGTTTTGGGGGCCGAAGTCGAGGTCTTAGACTCCAGGGCCAGAGGGTGCACTCTCCTGGGACCGGTGACGTGACTCTAGGAGCCACACCTTAGAGAGGACAAAGAAAAGAGCCCCGCTTTCCTCTCAGGCGGTTCCGGGTGCGCTCTGCGGTGCCCCGATTGGCCCAGGCGACCTCGTCTAAGAGGGACTCTTACATAACGTGGGAGAGCTCTGTGGTCTGTGACCGTCTTAAAGGGGTGATGAGGCCCTCCGTGGATGAACCGTGGTGACTCGCAAGAGGAGCGGTGACATCCAGCCGGCTCTGTAGTCTGAGCCGAGGCATTTCTCTTCATAGACTTCGCATTCACTTTGAAGACGGAATATCATCTACGCCACACATCCCCCGCCCCCCTTAAAGAAGCGTTTGTAAGGACTATATTTAGAAAAGCTCCAGAAGGCGCACAGACTCTCGGTGTTGTAGGAGACCTGTCTTCTCCTGCGGGAAGGAGGAGTTATTTACAGCTGCCCCACAGCCCCGGCCGGTTCCACTTCTCCGCTATAAATTATGTAAATTGAAAGGCTCCTAGATGCTCACTGTCCTCCTGACCCGTTTGCAGGTTTTCTCCCTTGCTGGCTTTTTCCCGGCAGTATTTAAAGGCTTTCGTTCTCTGCTTTTAAATCGTCTTCCTTAGACGTATTTCCACACATGCTACACGATTTGGGCCTTTCTCCCTTTCTGCTACTTTCAGGAGAGTCTTCCAGTCTGTGACGACATAGTCTGGTGATAACGTACGCTACTGAGAAACTGATTGGAAGGACTTCGGTGCAGGCTTGAAACAGGGGTCGTTGTAGATGTGTTCTACTCGCGATTCTGTATGTATTTCTCTTATGTTCAGAGAATAGTAACTCTAAATACCCATCTATGCAAATCTTCACAGTCTGCACTTGGATCCCTTATTTAATTTTATTCCTTACAGTATTATTTTAAACTTAATCCTAGTCCTTTGGAAATCAGACTCGGAAACTGGACACTTCACCTTTTGAAAAGCACTCACCACGGCACAGCCCCTGGTCTCTGCGGATGGAATGGCAAGGGACAGCGGAGCTGTCCAGAGGACACATCCGGCCTCGGGGGGTCGGCGGGCAGGTTAGGGTCTCCAGGACTAAACGAGGGGTGGATGGAGACAATGGGATTTGTGCCCGAATTACAGTCCGTGTGGTCGAATAACATGTAATTTTAGAACTTCTCGGTTCCCTTTATTAGCAAAGTAGAACGTCTCTAGCATTTATTTTCCGAGATGTCTTTCTTAGAGGAACAAATGAGCAGCGTGATAAGTGCAGACTCAGGGTTTGTGTAGCTAAGAGTTGACGGTTTCTAGATACGTTTCTTACAGAATGTTGTCCTCCCAGAGCAAAGAAGTCATTTTCTTGTAAGTTGCTATGACGATGAGATGTGACTGATGTCACACATACAGGGAAACCCAGCACGCAAGTCAAGTTTAGGGTGTTCTTGTAGTTTCAAGTCGTTTGCATACAGAGCGGAGGGAAAGGTGGACGCCGTTTACCAGCGGTGTTTGGGGAGAAGCTTTAACTAGGGGCAGCTCGGAAACATCGGTCTTTCGGGACTGGGTGCGGTTGTCCTTGCTCGGGACTGCATTCCTCACGGGGGACAGCCAGGGGCCCGGCCGGTCAGATCTCAGTGCTGTAATTGAAAGATGGACTTGAACTCTTCCTCACTAAGAAAACTTCGGAAAGGTTGATTTCAGGGCTAAGAGAGCTTTTCCTTCAGGAAACGAACAGCCGAGTTTGGCAAATTGCTGGACCTGCCCTGGCAGGGCAGCTGTGCAAGTTCCCGAGCCCGTGCTGGCCATGACAGGCACGTTTGCCATCGCAGGCTTCCTTCTGTGGTGTTTGTTTATTCAGCAAAGTTTCTTGGGTGTTCATCAGTGGGAACCTGGACAGCAGTCTGTGCTCTGTGGGGTGTACATTCTGGCGGAAGACAGACAGGCACAGCAGACACGGTGAGGAAGTAGCCGTGTAGCCGCCCAGGGGACTGAGCGCCACGGAAGACAGGTAGAACTGCTGAGGGTCGGGGCGGGCCTGGGCCTTGACGTGGGGAGTCAGAGCAGGCCTGGCGGGGCAGAGGTCGGAAGGGTGCTGGGGAAGGTACGTTCTGGGCCAGGGGAGTCTGGGGGCGAGGTCGGGAGAGAAGCACGAGAGGCAGGCCAGAGAGGTGAGGGTGACGGGGGCCTTTAGGCCATCATAGGGACTTTGTGAATGAGGGGACTTTGAAGGGCTCTGAGCAGAAGCTGGGGACTCACTGGGGGCTTGTCTTGGTGGCCCTCGTGAGGCGATGCTGGCCCATGGAGAGGGCGTCGTCAGGACCTGAACCTGCGTCTCCTGCAGGAGTGAGCGCACGTTTGCATGTGAGATAAACCATGTTCTTTTGGTGGGCGGCGCGTGAAAGAAAATGATTTTCTGTTCTGCAGGAAATGCGTGGGGGCGTGAGTGAGTGAGGACTGAGTCGGGGGAGAAGAGTCACGGGGACCCCTGGTCTAGACAGAGGGAAGTGGAGCGCAGGGAGGGGAGTGGGGTTTACGGAGCTGCGGGGAGCGCCGAAATGGGTAGATGTGGGTGACCTCCGCATACGCGCCAGTTCCGACCACCGCGATGCTCGGTGTGGACGATGTCGAAATCTGAGACACTGAAATACCGGAAGTCAACGGCACATCACCCGGGATGGAGCCGACCAGAGTTAAGGCATTCAAAAGTCACCGTTATTTAAGAAGATAAAGAAATTGTTCATTTACTCCATTGCAGCAAATGCGAATGTTAAAAATTCAAGAGTTACCGTTCGAAGAATGGAAATAGATTGCAGATCTTTCAAACACCAGGCGAAAAAAGGGTAAAAAAATCTTGCCCAATGTAATAGAAGGTGGCGGGGATGGAGGTGGGGGTGGCAGTAATGACCTCATCACATGCAGTGGCGGGACGACCCTCCCGTCCGCAGTCAGTCAGTGGGGACAGGCAGCCTCACCAGGTAAAAGAGACAGCCGAGACTACATTTTGAAAAGGATTGGGAAATCGGACCTAGAAAGTCATTAAACTGTATTAACATCTTAATGATAGCAAATTACTACACTGGTACCAAGTAATGTCACTCCAGGAACGTAAGGGTTGTTTAACAAAACACGTATGATTTACCAGAGGATTAAAGGAGAAGAAATCGGTTCATCTCCATCGGCACAGAAAAAGAGCTGGTAAAATTCAACACCCGTTTATGAATTTCCAAAAACCAAAACAAAACAAAACCCACTTCTTAGCAGGCTGGGGACGTAAGGGAACTTCTTTTACCTGCTCGAGGATATCTGGCGAAACCCCTACCCATCCGCGGTCACGAGCCTCCCCTTTTACAATTGGGACCAAACGAGGAGGACTCCCCGCCTTCACTGCGCGCTCTGCTGCCGCGGAGAATTTGCCCAGCTCAACAAAAATAAAAAATGGAGTGCTGGTGGGTAAAAGCCCTTGTGGGGGAGAAAATTAACATAAAATCAGAAATGCGAATTTTTCTTTCTCAGGATGCTTTCATGTGTGAACAACAACACTAGACTGAAAACGTGGCTTTTATGATAGCACCGAACTTCTTTTCAGGCTGTATGATAAACGTCGATAACCTGAACTGCCCTGCCCCTCAAAACGAGTTTTAAAGTTTGAAGAAAATATTTAGAAAAACATTAATGCTTCACTTAGTTCTTGAACTTGGATGAAGGGCACACAGCCGTCCACTTTGCCCAGAAGCAAAGGGGTGGGTGCTGGGAGGGCACCCGGCAGACCCCGGGAGCTGTGCTTCCATTTCCGGGGCGTGGGAGGGGTGGGGAGGGATGAAAACCAGGAACCCCTGCCGGAAGGGGCGCCTTGAGGTCCCTGCACAAAGCCGATCTTCCTGGTACCTGTGGCCCAAGCTGACCTCCGGGTGAGTGTGCCTCAAAACCGTCAGAGTAGCCCCACAGCCTCCAGCGGGGAGTAAGTTCAGGAGCCCCGGCCGCGGGCATAGCTCTCACAGACGCTCTCTGATGACGGCCCTGCCACAAAGATGCCAGGAACCACAAGCTGCCGGTAAAGTATCGGGAAATGGCCGGGCACACAGCCCTGGGAGTGGCTGCCGCGGGCCCCTAGTGACTTCCGCACACGTAGTCGGCCGTGTAACGTGTTTACAGAGGTGAAAGAGGTTTGGGCACACGCACAGCCACCGGAAGGCTGTGCAGAAGGACCCAGTGGATTTGGGAGAGAACCTGCCTCCCGCAAGCTGAGAAGCCGTGAGAAACCGCAGGATGCGGGAAGAGGACACCACGAAGGGCGGTGTTCGGGGAGTGAAAGGGAGGCTTGGGTGCGACGCTGGATCGTCCCCCCCTCAGCTGGCCCGCAGTCTCCAGGGGACGCTGGGGTCAGGCTGCAGACGGCCACTCTGCCCGTCCGGTCCTCTCCCGTGGCCCTCCTGGGGGCTCCACGTCTTAACTTGGAGGCCCGTGTCTGGCCTCTGGCTGGAATCGGGGTGGACTGCCTGTGACCTTGAGAGCAGTGGCTCCTCGTGTCCTGTTCGGTGACATGATAAAAGGGGTGGAAGAGGCGTGTCCTTGAGGTCTGACCGAGGGCGTGTAGTTTGAGAACAGTGAGTACATTCCAGTGACGAAGGTTGGACTTTTGGGGAACGTGGGATGGGATGAGAAAGTTGACTTGGTGACAGAGTTTCATGGAAAAAGAACCGAGTGTCTCTGAGAATCGAGGGGCCGCGTACTAGCAGGGGAGTGGGGTGGGCAGAGAAGCCGACAGCCCTGGGGCACGCGGCCAGGTCAGGATGCCGGGACAGCGGCCCAGCCCTCTCTGCAGCTCCCTCGGTGGCCTCACCCAGCTCCATGGCATGAAGCATCCTCTGCTGTCCACACATACTGCAAGGCCACTCAGGGAGCTCTGGTCCAACCTGCTGGGCTCTCCACTCTGCACGGGGTCCACGAGCATCTGCAGCCCCTGCTGCAGGCGCCCACCTCATCAGAGGACGCCGCCACCCACGTGTCACCAAGGGCCAGAACCTCCGAGTCACATTGACACCACGTCCCTGAGGTCCATTCCACCCCCAGAGCCTGTCAGTGCCACGCCCACCCCGCCCGCCGGCTCCCTACGGCCCTGAACTGCCCTCCAGCCCCTTTCCGGAGTGGCCCGTGTCGTGCGTGGCACTCATGTGCCAGAGCTGAGCCTTCTCAGAGGCGTCCAGAAGCCCACGTTTTCGCGGGCTCCAGGCCCTGCAAGGCCCTGTCCCTGCTTGTCCCACTGACATGTCCTGGCTCTCCCCAACCCTGCGCTGCCGTCCTGTGTCCACGCCTGGCACACAGGCCGCTCTGTAAATACTTGTCGAGGAGGCAAAACAGAGCACACTTGCTGCTGTGACCCCACACCTGCGGACCTCAAAAGCGTGGCGCTCTGCAGAATTGTGCACTAAAAATACAGGGCTGAGGAAAAGTAGGTTAAGAGCGAACCATCGGGATCTAGAAAGCTGTGTCAGGAGGGCGAGCAGCCCGACCCCGACTCGGACCCTGCGCGCCATCCTGGGCTCCAGCTCTAAGGGAGGCCACTTTCCCTCGAGGAAAGTCCCAGCAGATGTCACCCCAGCAGCCCGGGGGAAACGCCACCAGGTCCTCCTGTGGAATGGGGGAAGCGGGGAGAGCAGAGGGCCCAGGGGCACCGAGCGGGCACCGTCCCCCTTTCCCCGGCACGCGGTGCCTCCCTGCTCACCAGCCACCAGGCCACGGTCCATGCAGAAGAAAGAGGGTCCCGGGCAGCGAGGTAAAAGTTTGCCTTGGGTGTGGTTGGTTTGCCTGATCAGCTCTTCCTCCCTCTCGCCAGTGAAGATAGTGATCCGCGGAGACAGGAACACGGGCAAGACCGCGTTGTGGCACCGGCTGCAGGGCAAGAAGTTCGTGGAGGAGTACATCCCCACCCAGGAGATCCAGGTCACCAGCATCCACTGGAACTACAAAAGTGAGGGCGCGCGGGGCGCACGGC